GCCCCCAGGGTGGCAGATGCCACCATCCCACAAAAAGGGGGTTCTGCCCCCACTTTGCTGCCCCGTCCCGGGGGTCCCTGGCCCCCAACCGGGGAGGGGGGGGGTCCTGGGGCTCTCACCCAGCATGGCCCTGTCCCCCCATGCTGCCCTCCCTTCTGAGCTTGGGGGGGACCCCAGCGGGCACCCCTGGGGTGGGTGACCCCCAGTGCTTGGGGGGCTTGAAGTGGCCCCCCCCCCTGAAGATTCTCAGTGCCCCGGTGGTGACGCAGAGCCGCCGAGCGGTGGTTTCCCAACAGGGAAGTCATTTTGTGTGTGCCGGCGCGGGCCGGGCCCCAAACCACCCTCCCCGGGGGCTCACCGTGGGACCGGGCCCCTGCGGCCAGCTGGGGCTGAGACCGGACACAACTCATTGCAGGGGTGGGCAAGAAGTGAGGGGGGGAACCGTGTGAGACCCCCACACACCCCCCCTTGGCCACGGCAGGTGGGGGTTGTGGAACTGGGGCAGCTGCGGCCTGTGGGACCCGCCGCCGACAACCGCCTGGAGCCGGGAGAGCGGCCGGATCCGGCCCCGGCCGTTACCCTTCGCTGGGCACGAGGACGTGAGGCCCCGGTGGGTGCTGGGGGGGTGATTTTGGGGGGAGGAGAGAAGGGTCCGAGCCTGGGGGGGAAGGGGGAGGGGGTTGCAGCAGCTTGAAAACCCCCCCGGGTTTACACGGAGATTTGCTGGTGGCTCGTACGAGGCTGAGCCCACTCCTGGGGCTCCCCATGGAGGTCCCCCAGCGCCTTGGGGACCGGTTGTGATGCTGAATTTGGGGGGCTTTCCCCCCCCCCCAAGGCCTTTCCGCCGCGCTGCCGGATCCGGTAGGGAACCGGGGTGTTATGGCGGGGGCCGGCTCCGGCAGCCTCATTTCCTAAGGAAACCAGGCTAGAAGTGGGCACAGCCGGGCACCCACCCCACATCGGTGCCCTGACACCACAGGGATGGGCTGGGGGTAGATGGGGGGGTTGGATCTTTCAGCCTGCAAATCCCGTGGGATTGGAGCATCCTTAGGCACCCGAGGGGGGGGTTAGCACCCCATTTTGGGGGGCTGCTGGGCCCCGCTCCTCCCCGCCGCGGGCAGGAAGCGCCGCCGGCTGCCGCGGACTTTGGACCCATCCGGCGTCGCCGGCGCAGGGGCAGAGGAAGGGACTTTTCCTGTTTGCCGGCACGCTGGGGTCCGGCACCCATCCGCCACCGCGGCCCAGCTCCGGTAAAACTCGGCCCTGGCCGCCCCCCAAACGCTGGCGTGGGGACTCTCCGGCGGCTGATATAGGGTTGTGCTCAGGCCGCGGCCCTCCGTGGGCGGGTGAGTTTTGTGCGTGCCGCCGGGTGCTTTTGCAGCGAAAGATTTCTCTCTCCTTGGAGGGGGGGAAGCACTAATTTGGGGGTGAATTCCCCTTCCCACACCCCCTTTGGCTGCCCAGCTTTTCCTGCCCACCCCTCAGGGGCCGTGGGGGTTTGGGGTAGAGCCCCTCCAGCCGGGCAGACCCCCTGTTTATTTCCCCCCCCCAGTCTGCTTTTTGAGCCGGAGCGGAAGAGCTCAATCTCCGGCCCCTTTTCGGAAAGGCCGGGATATTTATAGCTGCCTGGCTCAGGGAGTTGGGATTTGCTGTGGCTGCCTCCATGTGTCCCCCCCCCCCATCCTGCCGCAGCATCCCTCCGCTGCGTCCTGCACCGGGGTGGGGGCCGGGGCCGGATCCTGCCCTGGCCATGGGGCATCTCTCCTGGGTGGTTGTGTGATGCCCGGGGTCCCTGGGCATCTCTGTGTGATGCCCAGGGGTTTCCTGGGGGTTTCTGTGCCGTGTCGGGGGTCCCTGTGCCGTGTCAGGGGTCCCTTGGGGGTCTCTGTGCCATGTTGGGGGTCCCTGGGCATCTCTGTGTGATGCCCAGGGGTTTCCTGGGGGTTTCTGTGCCGTGTCGGGGGTCCCTGTGCCGTGTCAGGGGTCCCTTGGGGGTCTCTGTGCCATGCCTGGGGTCCCTCAGAGGCCTCTGTCTCCATTTGGTCGATGCTGAGTGGATTTAGGGGGGATTTAGGGG